CTACAGAAAAATGCAGGCTAGAAATAGTACGTAATAAATGGGTAAAACACCTCTCTTTATAACTTCTGTGATTCCAAACAAAAACATGTAAATAAAACTTCAAACGATAGTATCTAAATCACAGCATTATCCTGGAGGAACTTTACAGTAAAAGCAAAAAAGTTAATGTGATCTAGAGATTAGAAACACCTACTAATCTTCTAAAACTACCTGGATCATTGTAAGCAAGAAATGGATGTGTATTTCATTTGCTTTCAAAAAAACACTGTACTAACTGGAAAGTGTAAACGTGGTTACATGGGTTTCTAAGGCTCTTGACTATGAGGATAAGAAAGGTAATGTGTTCCATATGTGGCAAACCATATAGGTATTTCAGGAATATTAGTAAAAAACACAATCACTACAAAGTAGAGAAGAAAAAGAAGCAAATCAGAAAGCACTGGCAGAGACCTCAAGCACAGCATTCAATCAAATGCGTTGAACTTAACAGAATAAAGTAACCCTCTCGGGGGGCACTTTGTTTTGCCTCTCCCTTTAGCACCACTATCCCTAAACAAATGGGTCACAGTCCAATGAACACCTGAGGAACAATATTCCCCAACCGCACCCTCAAGTCATTCCCCAGAGTTCTCTCTGCAACCATTCTTACTACGTGGACCACGCCTTCTTATATCCAGAAGCTTTAGCGGAAAGACACGTGTTTATCTTGGAGCAAATTAGGGATCATTTGTTACCAAAGATTTTCAAAAAAGTACTTCCCTCTGCAAGAGCAGAAAACAAAGCTCCCTGCCAGCCACATGCCAGGTACCCCCACTTGGGCCTTACTTGTTCTCGTTGCTTGCGTCATAACGAGGCATGGGGTCTAAGTCGTTCCCGTTCACGTCACAACTCGCCAGAGCATCCTATGGTCACAGAGGAGAGAGAGAAAGGAGACAGATGTTCATTAAATAGCCATGCACCTGAAGGCTCATGCCTCCTTAAACACATTTCTGCAAGAGAGTAATTAGAGTAAATAATACACTCATGGTCCGGTGGTGTCAGGATGCCTTGTCCGTGTCATTTCTTTCCCCATGAAGGTGAAGAAATACTCTCTACAGACCAAAGATGTGCCCAGTCCACTCCTGCCAGCACTTTTCCCTCATACCTAGCACTGACCCCTCGCCCCAGTGCTTTGAAGATGTCCTCGACAACCACCTTCTCTGCAAAGTACTGCTAGAACACCTAGAAGACAGTGATTTATTCTTCGCTGGCTCTCTCTGTATTCCTTACTTCATTTCTTGAGTATGCAAATTCCTTATCACAATTCAAAGATTTTTGGAGACAGAAATCATTCACAAATAATTGGCAAGCCAATTAAAAATCATTATTAGAAATCTATTATATCAGGGATCTTGGGACCTCTATTAGGCAATATTTGTCTGGTTTCAGATGTTTTATCTACTATAAAAGGGTCTACAATTCAAGACTTTGTACTAACACCAAATGGTCTTTTGCCCCAACCAAAATAATGATCAAAATTTTGTTATATGTCAAAGTTTCAAAACGAAGCACAAGTTTCTCTTAAAACAAAGCTGAATTTATTTGTTTGCGTTTTTAAATGATTATAAAAAATCTTCAGGGCTTCCCTGGTGGCGCAGTGGTTGAGAATCCGCCTGCTAATGCAGGGGACACGGGTTTGAGCCCCGGTCTGGGAAGATCCCACATGCCGCAGAGCAACTAGGCCCGTGAGCCACAACTACTGAGCCTGCGCGTCTGGAGCCTGTGCTCCGCAACAAGAGAGGCCGCGATAGTGAGAGGCCTGCGCACCGCGATGAAGAATGGCCCCCGCTTGCCACAACTAGAGAAAGCCCTCGCACAGAAACTAAGACCCAACACAGCAAAAATAAATAAATTAATTAATAAAAACTCATACCCCCAACATTTAAAAAAAAAAAAAAATCTTCAAATTACTAAAAAAAAAAAAAAATTAATGGATTGTTCCATCATCTAAATTTATATCACCATAGATAGAACTAATTTAGGATGCTTTGAATTTTCTGATGCTTTATGATGCTTTATTTCTGTTATCAGTTTTAGTGAAAGTAAATGCTATCTTTGTTTTCTGTCTTTATCAAAGGCTCTTGTTTCTGAAAATAACTTAAAGTACATGGAGTCTGAAATGTTTGGGGGGAGTAAGCAAAATACACGTGACATATAAAGGTGATAAGTCTCTGCTTCCCGTACAAAGGAACATACAAAGCAGCCCACCTCAGCAGTCATTACAGCATGAAGGATAATACTGCGCAATTTCACTTATAAGGAAACAGAAGCCCGAGACAGATTACATGACTCGGCCAAAGGCATGAAACGAATTGCCTATGGCATTAAGACTGGAACCCAGCCACCCCATCCAATGTGCTTTTCTCTACTCTTCACCAGCTCTAACATTAGGAGAATCAAAAGGGCACCAGTACTGGTAACTGCACAGGTGAATTCTGGAGAATTTTCTTTCCGGGGAGAAAAAAGTGAAAAAGGTAAAGAATGCAATCACGTTTAGGTTAAGGCTCTTTGTGTTTAATCAAATGCATTTCTATGCAGTGCGGAGAAGGAACACCCTGTAAAAACTGCATCGCATACGATAAGAAAGACTTCTTTGCTAGGCAGTGGACAGCCACAGTTCTGTTCTTTATATGACCTGAGCTAACTCACTTTAGTCTTCAGGCCTCCGTGTCTACCCTATCAAATGAGGAGGCTGAACTGAAGTTCCTTTTTAGCTCTAAAATTCCGTTCTGTGAAGGGACACAAGTTTATCTGAGTGTGCTTGGACGCAGGGTAAGGACAGCCAATCAAGTGTCTTGTACAAAGGCGAACTAAATGAACTTGCAGTTCCTTCTCTCTCTCTCTCTCTCTCTCTCTCTCTCTCTCTCTCTGTTTTTCAACCTTAGGGAAAATCATCTAATTTAGGAGAAACTGTTTCAACATTTCATTGTAAAAACTGATTTGTGAAGTTTCTTAACTGAATTTTTGAAACAAAAAGGGCAACAGGGTAGAATACTGAGAGACAAAGCAGTTAAAGTTGATAAAAGTATAAGGTGATATTGGGTGGTCCTGAGTGAAGGTCTTCGTAAGGTCAGAAATATGCGTGGCTGTGTGAGCCAGCGGTAGTTTCTGATGTGTCAAGGAAGTGACTTGTAAGTATTTTATTTGCAAAGATAAGAGAATCTTTTCAGGTTTGAGTGACAAAAGGAAAACTAAGAGAAAGTAAATGTCATCCAATAAGTGAGACTGAGCAAATGAAAAATAAACACTGGAGAGCATATATGGCCATCGCTACCTAAATGGTTTCATGAGAAAATGAAGCCAGAGGAGAGATGGTCAGAGAGACAGATACAGGGAGTCATTCCCACAGTGCAGGGAAACCACGTCTTCCCATGCTGAAGAGAGAGAGAGAGAGGGCGATGGGGGGGGGGGGGGGGTA